TGGGAGAACTCTGGTAGCGTAGTGGTTACGAATTGGGCTGCGAACCTCAAGGTCGGCAGTTTGAAACTACCAGCGGTTCTGTGGGAGAAAGATGTACAGGGTCGCTATGGGTCAGAATCGACTCGACAGCAACTTAACAACATATATATAAAAATAAATGAACAACAATCCTCCAATCAAAGCTTCAAGTATGTATACTTAGTATTCTACTATTACAAAAGGTTGGTAGGATAACAATTGGAAAACTTTTATAAAGGAGGTGCAAGTGGTTTTGTCCTTGTTTACTAGCCCAAGGTTGGTGGCTTGAGACCACCCAATATGGCACCACAGGAAAAGGTCTGGCCATCTGCTTCCATAAAAATGACAGAAGAAAACCCTATGGAGGGGCAGTTCTGTTCTGTACCACGACGGGCCTCCACAGATCAAAACTCATTCAACAGGGACAGTAACCATACGTGTTTAAGAATTTATTATCAAAACTTTAATTGGGCAAATACTTGTGACTCTGTAGTTCCATAGTAGCTTCATCTTTTATAGAAAATAGACTAAAGTTGACTACCATATTTCAAAGAGCAGGAAAAACTATAAATAAATATAATAGAACAAAATGGAAGGGCAAAAAAAAAAAAAAAAAAAAAAGCCCAAAATAAATAATTTTAGAATTCACAATTCAAGTAATGTAGGCCAAAACTTTTCTAATCAAGGCGTACACAGATATGACATAATAAAGAACACTAATGCAAATGAGAGGCACCTTGGAAGAAAAGCCTGGCAAGTTACTTCCAAATAATTAGCCACCGAAAACCCCTTGGAGCACAGTTCTACTATGAGTCAGAACAACTTGACGACAACTGGTTTTTGGGAGATATGTATTATACAATATTTCTGTTCCCTGTAATTAAATGAAAGAGTTCACCAGCATGTTGAAAACATTCCAAAAAACTACTTAGTCTATTGTTAGAGTTATAGCTGCTACCAGAATAGGTTTCTTTGTCCTACCCTCACTATCCCAGGGAGATTATACTTCACAGATAACTATGTCAATTCATTTACCAACTCAATGTGGCTGTAATTCAGCCTATTTAAAAAAGGTAAAGTAAGTTGACAAGAAGAATCAGAATAAAAATTAGGTCAAAGAAAAATGATTTACAAGTTCATCAGTACCTACCACTTTGAGGAAGAAAATATACTGTTAGAAGCTGTAAAATTATACTAATAAGAGCTATAAAAACAATGAATTGATTAGTTTCCAAGTTCATAAAGTACAAAGCATATTATACATACAAAAATTTGTTATTGTTAACACACAGTAGCATTTTTCTAAATTATATTACTCTATACTACTGGAGTCCTGGTGTGGCGCTGTGGGTTAATGCGCCAGACTGCAAAGCCGTTTGAACTGCAAGGTCAGCAGTTCAAGTTCACCAGCTGCTCCTCAGAAACCATATACAGGGTCGCTATGGGTCGGATTCGAATCGACGGCACGTCACAACAACAAATAGTTTCTTCGAAATTTTCCCATATTCGTATTTTAATAGAAACATTCACTCAAAAGCTTAAAAATTAAACTAAACAATGAGTGTTTAGACCCTAACATTTATTATGAAACAGACACAAACAATATGGAATTTTACATTTGATCTTCATGAAGCATTTTTGCAACAAAAGCTGTTATTTAAAAAGAATAACCTATAGACCCTAAGGTCTAGACAGGAATCACTCCATTACAGGGACATGGTATATCAGCATTACAATGTTTTTAAGTTGCTGCAGGTAAAGGAATGTTATTTTAGCATGCTTAACATAAAAAGACAATAAATGTCTCTCTCACCATCCCCCTATTTTTGATCTGCAATTTTAAATTTGGTAGCTTTCTTAAATTTTGGCTCCCTAAATTAAGAGACCTGTAACACAGCTCTCAACAACCCCTGACAACAAATTAAGATAAAATTACAGCAGTATGTTTCACATACCTTTTTGAGATGTCCTAGTCTAAGTTTGAAAATTTCTTCCTGTTCATGATATTCTGCCAAGGTCAACCTGTCAAAAATAAAATGGTAATGCTTGATATTACGATTATTACTATTACTTCTTAGTGTAAGTAGCAAAATGGGGTACAATTAATGGAAGGGAAATGTTAAAATATTAATAGCATTCAGCCTAAAATATATAAACCAAATGACTTTTAAGACAGTCTTCATAACATATTTGCTACTTATAAATGGAACAATTAACTAAATTAATTCAACAACTACTTAATAAGTACTATGTACCAAGAGATATTCTAAATCCTAAGGATGCAGCAAAAAACAAAACAGTTTCTCTTTACATTTTAGCTTAAGGTTACACTCTGTGGAGGGGGTAAGGAAGCAGACAATTGATAAAAGAAGTAAGATATTTGCAAATAACAGTTAAGTATGAAGAAGAAAACTAAAAAGGATGGCATGATAATGACTAATTGTATTCCTTTCCTTTGGGACTAGTATTAGAAGCAAGTGCAAAGACCAAGCTTAGCATGTAAGAAAGCAAATGCAAGCATCACCAAGAATGTAGTCAAGACAGACTGTGAGTAGTAGGAGAGGTAACCAAGGGCCAGGTCATGCAGACTTGCAAGCCAAGAAAAAATTTGAATTTTACTCTTAAGAGTAATTAATGGGAAATTAAGCAAAGGATATCAGTCTTGTGTGAGCACTAATTTAAAAAAAGACAAACAGACTTCAGAAGAATGTTAAATTCCAATTAAATAAAGATTTCTAACTTTCTCTGCTTCAGTTTGTTCAGAAAAAAATAAACAATATAAAAAAGTAGTAAAATTATAGCCAAAAGACCATATTCTAATTCTTAAAATGATTAATAAAACGAACAAACATACAACTACCTTTTAGATGCAGCTTTCCGGTAATTTCATTACAAAAATTTCAGATACTTTTAGAATTAAAAAAATAACCAGTTTAATGCATGTCAAACTATAACAAGACATAAGTACTTTTTAACATTTTCTAAGAAAAAATAATTTTGTATTCTGATAAATAACAAAACCACTCTGATACCAAGTAACTGCCATTTCATAGTCTAACTGTGAAAGAACTACTTTTATATATAATATTACATGTCTTTCTTTGTTCATTTACTTATATATTCTGAGCGTATTCAGTTAAGCTTCTAACCCAAGTATGATCTCATTATGGTTGGTCAGGCTTTCAACATTTTGTATAAGTAATATTTTCCTTTTGCTAAGTGATAGTTAAATGGACTAATTCTTTAAAAAGGGATTCAATGGAAACAAACAAAAAAACTCCAAAAAATTCAACAAGTAGTCTACTAGACATAATCTTAAGAGTGAAAAACTATATATTTTGAATGAAGTCCTTTCTATCCTAGCTTCTGCTACCATAACTGCTTGATTTTATCACACTGACTACAGTTAATAATTGATAGCTGCAGTAGTTGCTTACAGAAAATTTACAGAATAAATGTGGCAATGTGAATGTAGATGGGTTTAGAGAGGGTGAAGCCAATGAAGTTTGAAACTAAAATTGGTAATATTTAAACTAATTCAATGAAGAGAAGCGCTAGAAATTATGGCAAATAGCTTCTGTATATGCGTATGTTGTTGTTGTTAAGTGCCGTTAAGCCGGGTTCCGACCCATAGCAACCCTGTAGAGGGTTTCCGAGGAGCAGTTGGTGAGTTTGAACCACGAACCTTGCAGTTCAAACGGCTTTACAGTCTGGTGCATTAACACACAGTGCCACACCAGGATACCGTATATGCATATAAGCATCTGATATTTACTTACCTGCATAACAATATCATTTCCTATTCTAAAAGTATGGCTTTAGACCCATTGTTAGCCCATAAGATGGATTCAAAACAAATTGTTTTAAGTACACAAATTTGTTTTATTTGAATTTTCTAAGCTCCTGGTGTTTTCTCCATATTGAGGTATAATCCATACTTAAGACTGCAGTCTTTGATTTTCATGGGTGTTTTACATCTTCTTCAAGGTTGTATCATCTGCATACTGCAGGTTGTTAATGAGTCAGTCCTGATGCTAAGTACTTCATAAATCTATCTTCTTGGATAATTTAATCAGCATAGATTGTATAAGCATGGTAAAATTAATAAACCCTGGCATACTTTCCTGACTTTAAGCCATTCAGTATCACCTTGTTCTGTTCTAACACCTGCCTCTCAGTCTATGTACAGGTTCCTCAGGAGTCTAATGTGTTCTGGAAGATCCATTCTTTGCAGTGTTATCCAAAGCCTGTCATGATCCACATAGTTGAAAGTCTTTGCATAATCAACAAAGCACAAGTAAGTATCTCTTTCTGATATTCTCTGTTTTCAGCCAAGACCCATCTCTCATTCCATGTCCTCTTCTAGATCCAGCTTGAATTTTGGGCAGTTCTCTCTAGTTGTACTGCTGCAGCCGTTTTTTAATTATCTTCATTTTATTTGCATGTGATATTGATACTGTTCAATGATTTCTGCTGGGTTACCTCTTGTGAAATGGGCACAAATATGGATCTCTTCCAATTGGTTAGCCAGGTAGCTGCCTTCCAAATTTCTTGGTGTAGATGCTGAGCACCTCTAGTGCTGTATCAGTTTGTTGAAAGATTTCAATTTGTATTACTCCAAATGGAGAACACATAAATCCTCACAGCTGGACCAATGAATGACATCAATGATAAATGAAGAAAGGATTGAGGTTGTCAGGGATATAATTTTGCTTAGGTCCACACATTTGACAGTTGTGGAAGCAACCGTCAAATCAAATGACATGTTGCATTGAGCAGGTTGGATGCACAAGACCTCATAGGAGTGTTCAGAAGTGTGGATGTCAGTTTGGGGACTAGGATGAGCCTAACCCAAACCATGGTATTTTCAATAGCATCATATGCATGGGAAATTTTGGCAATGAAAAAGGAAGACCATAGAAGAATTGGTGCATTTGAGTTATGGTGTTAGAGAAGAGTATTTAAAGTACCATGGACTGCCAGAACAAATAAATCTGTGTTGGAAGAAGTACAGCTATAATGCACTTTAGGGGCCAGGATGAGACTTCGTCTCTCATACCTGAGACATGTTATCAGAAGACACCAGTCCCTGGAGAAGGACATCACACATCGTCAGCAAAAACAAGGAAGATAGCAAGGTGACAGCAGCAATGGACTCAAGTCTAACCACTGTAAAGATGGCACATGACCAGGCAGTATTTCATTCTGTTGTGCATAGGGTTGCTGTGAGTCGGAACCAATTTGATGATACTTAACAATGAAGATCCTGGTGTGGCACTGTTGGATAAGCACTGGACTGCTAAAAGCAAGGTCAGTGGCTCAAACTCGCCAGCCGCTCTTTCGAAACATTATACAGGGTCGCTATGATTCAGAACCAACTTGATGACAATTAACAATAAATAGCATCATATAGGAATTAATATGAGCCCTGGGGATACACTGGTTAAAGCACTTGGCTGCTAACCAAATGGTGGCTGGTTAGAACCCACTATTTGCTCCACACAAAAGAGATGAAGCAGTCTGCTTTCCTAAAGATTTATAGCTTTGAAATCCAAGGAGGCAGTTCTACTGTGTCCTAGAAGGTCTGAGTCAGAATCAACTTAACGGCAGTCCATTACTATTTTTGGTTTATACAAGAATCAAATGTAATTCTGTACTTTTACATGACATTGAGGTCACTTATCAGTAACCTGCTAAAGCCATTTGAACTGCAAGGTAGGTGGTTCAAGCTCACCAGACACTCATTGGAAACCCTACACAGGATCGCTATGGGTTGGGACCGACTCGATGGCACTTAATAATAACAACAATAACTAAGTTATAAAGCAGAGTTAAATTTGGTATTCATAAACTAAAATGAAGGAGCTACTGGTAGCGTAGTGGTTACGAATCGGGTTGCGAACCTTAAGGTTAGCAGTTTAAAACTACCAGCGGCTCCACAGGAGAAAGATGAGGCTTTCTGCTCCCGTAAAGATTTACAGCCTCAGAAACCCTGTACAGGGTCGCTATGGGTCAGAACCAACTTGATGGCACTTAACAACAACAACAACAAAACTAAAATTAATATAAGACTTTCATTTCCTGAGATATTTGTAATTATATCCTATGAAAAAGTATGATTATCATGTAAAGATTATACACATGCAAGTAACTGGAATTTCTGCAAACTGGGAGAGGGATATTTAGTTGCCTTGAGTTGAGAGTGGTTTTCAATATTATTATAACTTAATGATAAATCAATGTTAATTAGCATATTACCTTTTTTACTGAGTAATACTGTTATAACATAATGTAATACATTGTTTTAATAGTACATTTAGTTTCAGTTGCTAACATACATTTGTGTTGTGGTGGAAATACACATCACCCCTATTCCTAAAGCAGATGGCACACAAATCTTCCCTACTATCTCCAGGTCCCTGATTGATTTCAAAAGCTTCGAGTTAAGAGCACTGCCTCATAGGCCCAATCCTAAGTATCAAACACAATTCTCAGTAAAAATTAACAGCAAATTTCAGCAATACAACTTTGCTACTTACCTACAACATTTTGATTACCATCACTAAAACTGTATTAAGCTTCAAATAATAAACAGTACAAAAATATATGTACTTATAACTCTGGACCCCTGGTGTAGTGACATAGGACCAGCATTGGATTGCAAACCACAAGATCAGCAGTTCAAACCCACCATTTGCTCTTCAGAAATCCTACACAGGGTTGCTATGAGTCAGAACAGACTCAATGGCATTTAATAACAACCATAATTCTGTCTGGTTTTGAAAATTTGGCAAAAAATGCAAGGGGACTTCAAAAACATTGAGGGAAAATTCCATTGGCTTTCAGTTCCATTTTCCACAAACTTTCTGAAGCCCTCTGATATATAAAGCACTAATGAGCAAATTTTATAGATATCATTAAATACTAGGATACTGACTTTCCAAAGCAATGGTTACTATTTTATGATCATGGATATAAAAAATAAAAAAATATGAAGAAAGTTATACTCTTCTCAGAAAACT